GTAGTGTTGTAATGTTCAGTAATGATCAGAGTGAGGTTCTCTAACATGAAGAGTGCAAACAAACCAACAGCTTCTGATGGCCCAGCTCTGGCCCATCATATTTTAAATAAAAAGTTCAAACGTGCTTTTTTAATCCCAGGAGATTACTGCTATAGTGATGGATGGAAGTGATTCTCAGTTTTAGATAAATCCACGCCTTCACACCCTCGACGCTCCACAGACGGAACAGGAAACACATTTTTGCTGAGGCCACATTCTTTTTCCTGTATCTGCTTTTCCAGCAACAATCAAATCTCAGCTCCGTCTCTACGACTGGATCAGATGGTTTAATAAAAGTCTGCTGCTGCTGCACAGGTGCGCTGGGTTCAAGGGGGGGGGGGGGCTTCCTGACAAATCGAGGGTCTGATCCGGATTTAATTCTGCTCCTTTACTTCCTCATTATTTGACCCGAGCGCCGCTTCGCTGTCTGCCAGCTGGAGTGTGGCGTTGATTTAGCAAAGTCTGAAGGAATAATTCAATCAATCTGGCTCCTCAGTTAAATCATCCCTGTGTGAGTGTTAGCCTGTCTGTTAGCAAAATATCTCATGAACCACTGAACAGATTCTTATGAAGCTCTCAGAAAGTAGCTATTAGACATTTAATCTACATTAGCAAACACGTGAATGGATGTTAATTTTACCAATATTGAGCTGAAGATTGGTGTGGTAGTAGCTGAGAGTCCTTCCCAACATACTTGGGATTTCATGACGTTGCCTTTTAACAATATTTTAAAACCGAAACAGCTTCTGGTAAAATAATAATTAATAATTTTTTGTGTTGATAAACCTGACTGGTCTGTGCTGACTGACCATTGAATTTGTCCAAATATCTGTTTGCTAATTAGCCTCGTTGTTTGTGCAGGTTAAGATAAATAAATATTTGTTTTTGCTTGTTTAACTCTAAGTGCTTTTCGTTTAATTACAATGCAAATACAAAACCAGTGAAAACCTAGATTTAGATCAGTCGCCGTATCCAGACAGGAAATGGGCGGTATCAAACCAGGGGCGGAGCCAGAGAGGTGGCATGATTGACACATGGGTAGAAATCCTGGATTTTGTATTTACATTTAGATTTTGTTAAAGATTGTTTTCTACTACCACACTATATACATTTTCAGCTCTGTTTGTTTAAAAATGGCTAAGTTATGGATATTTATATAATTAGCATTAGCATTAGTGGTTAGCTTAATATGACCTTAGCTTCAGGATTCAACATGTGATCATTCTTAGCTTCTCCACAACATAGCTTAATAAGTTGTGACTAGCATTCAGCATGTTTTTTGGATCACTCTTAGCTACAATCACACAAAATTTTAGCTTAGTATTTATTACAATAGCTGAATTAGTCATTTGTAAAATTAGCGTTAGCTTAGTTCGGAATAGAATCATCAATCAGGTCATGGTCAATCTTAGCTACTTCATAACAAATTTCAGCTCAATGAGTCTCAACATGTCTGAATTATAGCTTTTAAAGTTAGCTGTGGTGGCCATTTTGGATTAGCATTTAGAATTTCGTAAAGATTTTTTTTTGGCTACTTCTACGCTAATCTTCAGYTTTGTTTGTCTAGAAATGTCTGGATATAATTTGGGAGTATCATTCAGCGTGGATTTGCTTTTCTTTATTTGTATGTGCCCCCCTAAAAATCACCTTGGCCCCCACTTGTAACAACATCTAGCTCCGCCCCTGCATCAAACGCCTCTAGCAGTAAGCACCGATCCACAGCCACCCAGCAGATTATAACTAGGTTACACATCAAACCACCTCATACCTGAGATCGTAAAACTAAGTCAGGTTGGAATAACGTGCGTGTCTGAATTTCCCAGATTGGCAAACTGAATATTTAATCACAGGAACTCCTAATAGAGCTCTTTTCTCACCTGCAGGCTCTGAAACTCTGCGCTCTGCTTTGGAGTCATGGTTTTGGACCAACAGTAAATGCCACACAGTGTCTGTTTGTGTTTGTGTCCCTGTTACAGTCGGGGAATTGGCCGAGTGTGGTGGGAATGCAAAGTGTCAGCTGGAACAGAGGAGCAGAGCGGGTCGGCCGCTGACTGACACTCGGCTCGCTCCTCGGAGAGAGTCCTTCTGAAAATGACTAAAAGGGGAAACAAAACACCATCCTTCACTTGTCACACAAACCCCCAGGAGGCTGCTGGGAGGAGAACGCTGATTCTTTTATTAATTTCATTCACCAGCTGATGGAGGAGATGTATTAAACACCACGTTTTTTTTTTTAAAGGAATCAAACAGGGACTGATTTAGTGGGTTAGAACTCCAGAGACAGCTTCAGGAGGGTCCAGGACCGGAGACAGGTGTCAGGAGAGGCAGCCGACTGGAGCTGGCAGGGTCCCACCATGGGGACACCGAGGGGCTTCTGAATCAGGAGGGACACAGCAGGAAGGCACCTGTGATTTCCCTGGAGGGGCTTCACAACGCTCCACGGGCTCACAGCTTCCTGTCCAGGGGCGGAGCTAAACGTTTGTGCATTGGGTGGCCAGGGTGGTTTTCGGGGGGGACACATACAAATAAATAAAACTACTTTTCTAACTTCAACCGGCTCTAATTTAGCTGTTTTAAAAATAGAGCTGAAATTTTGTGATTGTAGCTAAGAATAATTAAAAAAAAACATGTTGATTGTTAACCCAAACTACACTAACTGCTAATGCTAATTTCACAAAGGGCTATAATACAGCCTTTTTTAAACACAGCTACAAATTAATATAGTAGTAACCAAGAAACAATCTTTTACAAAATCTGATTTCAAATACAAAATCCGAGATGGCCACCATAGCTAACTTCCACCGGTTCTAATTTATCCATCCATCCATCCATTTTCTTCCGCCTATCCGGGGTCGGGTCGCGGGGGCAAAACAGCTTCAGCAGCCGAGGATCAGACCGCCAGGGTCCCCTCCTTCGGCCGCCGCCCATTTCACATTGCACCCGACCCCTTTGGCCCCTCCTACGGGTGGTGAGTCCGTTGGAAGGGGGACCCACGTCTCCTCTTCGGGCTGAGCCCGGCCGGGCTCCGTGGGTGAAAGCCCGGCCACCAGGCGCTCGCCATCGTGCCCCACCTCCAGGCCTGGCTCCAGAGGGGGGCCCCGGTGACCCGCGTCCGGGCGAGGGAACGCCAGATCCAATGTTAGCATTCATCATAAGGGGTCTTCGGGCTGCGCTTTGTCTGGTTCCTCACCTAGGACCTGTCTGCCATGGGTGACCCTACCAGGGGCATAAAGCCCCAGACAGCATAGCTCCTAGGATCATTGGGACACTCAAACCCCTCCACCACGATAAGGTAGCAGCCCAAGGAGAGGGGTTCTAATTTAGCCATTTTAAAAATATTGAGCTGAAAGTTTGTGAATGTAGCCAAGAATGATTTAAAAAAACATGGATTGTTAGTCGCAACTATGCTAATTGCTAATTTTAATGCTAATATAAAAAAGGGCTTTAATTCTGCCTTTTGTAAATACATGGCTTGGCTAACAATTAGCATAGTAGAATAGTAGAATAAATCATTTACATCTCTTTTCAAATACAAAATCCAAGATGGCCACCACAGCTAACTTCAACCACCTTTAATTTAGCTGTTTTAAGGAATATTGAGCTGAAATTTTGTGATTGTAGATGTAGAAAGTTTTAAAAAAACATGCTGATTGTTAGTCCCAAGATAACTGCTAATGCTAATGCTAATTTCACAAAGGGCTATAATTTAGCCACCTTTAAACATTCAGCTAAAAATTAGCATCGTCGCAGCAAAGAAACAATCTTTTACAAAGCCTGATTTCAAACACAAAATCCAAGATGGCTGCTAAAGCTAATTTAAATGGCTACAACTAAACCGTTTTTATAAATACCTAGCCAAATTTTAGCGCGTTGTTAGCCAAGAGAAATTCTCATGACATACCTCAGCTAGCAAAAAATGTCTCTCATTGTATGTCCGTCTTTGAAATGCCACATGCAAACCCCACCTCACGTCAGTTATTTGGTGGTGGCACCTGGGTTGGCCAATCAGGTGTCAGGGGTGGGAGGTGCCACCCTGGCCACCCCTCTGGCTCCGCCCCTGGTCTATAGCCAGATTTTACAACTTGGCCATTTCTTGTAAAACTCTAACCTGATGGGATATCTGTTCCTTCAGCCTCATCAGGTTTTATTTGTCGTCGGTTAGATTTAGCTGCATGTTTGTTGAGCAACGTGTCTCATTAAAACCTCTAACGGAAGGACAGTCATCAGTAATGTGATTCGGTGTTTCCTGCAACGGTGTTCTCTGTGGTAACGGCCTTGGTTTCTTTTTTTCTGAGTCTTGTGTAATTTAGTTTCAGCAGATCAGTGCAGCTGTGATTCATCCGATAGCAGATCCACAGAGGTCAGCGGGCTCCGCGGGCTCGCCGGAGTCAAGGACGAATCAATCAAACAGCTTTTCATGGTGAATTCTGTAGAGGAAGTCTAATCAGAGCACTGTAATTAATTTGAGTGAAAAAACTCAAATATGTGATGCTGAAGTGGGACTTTTGAGGATGGAAGAAGAGAAATTTAACTTTACAGCTTCAGCTCTGACAGGCGGACCAGGAAACTGAGAAATCCTGGGACAACAAGACCAGCACAGATATAACAATCCTGCATGAACGTTCTCAACTATGGACTGCCGTTTTAGTCAAAATACAGTAAATAAATAAATAAATAAATAAATAAATAAATAAATAAATATTCCATCAAATACCTAAATGTTC